CATTTCGACGTACGTCGATGACGATATTAATAAAGTGTGCTAAGAGAAAGGGAAAACTTGGATGCATGGAGCGATGACAGTTTTGGTCCCTGCGAAAAACGGAACCACATGGAAAATTATTTATAAAATCATTGTTTATCTTGATATGCAGGAAATAAATATATCATTTGGTTCTTCGTCAAGAGTGAACCGTGATCCGCCTTCTATCGTCGAAATCCTTTAGAAAATTAAGAAGAGCAGAAGGTTCTTCTGCCTTTAGAAGTAGGAAGATGTCGTTAATATGGAAACATAAAGTTTCACCTCAAAATGGCACGGATCTAAAACAGCGGACTCTACGAAGTTGTTCACTCAATATTTTCGTAATAGTTATGCTGAATGGCAATTACATGGCAACTCAAATTATTTGTGATAAAAGGTTTGTCGTGTTCAATGCAAATGCTTAAAATTATCATTTTAAATTCTTAAATTGATAATGCTTGAAACTGGCATGGCGGCAAAACTCCGACCAGTGAACCTGCGTTTCTCCAGATGTGCTTCGCCTCTTCCAAATCTTTTGTGCAACGGGAAGTTCGCTGTCAACAGACTTTATCTCTTCCTGTTTTAGCACTTTGTGTCTTTCACAACTGTAAGTTTCTCACCTCGTTTCCTTGCGTTCGTTTTGTTTCTTCGTTGCAATGCTTTAGTTTTTTTACCTGCTGATCTTTGTCGTCCGTTACTACAGTAACTCTTCTGTATATCACTGATTTGTGCTAAAGAAGCTACACCGGTGTACAATCTGAAAGCTTCACTTATAAACACTTTTCCGTTTTGGTACAATGTTTCGTGTTCAGGTTATTTATTGGTCGACGTCTAAAATACAGCAGACAAAGCGTAGACGATATTTCGCTTGTGATTCATTTGGAGGTTCACTCGCAAAGTAGTATTTTATTTCTTAATATGTATATGAGGACTTAATTCAAGAAATGATATGGTGATCAGCCATGCATTACAATTATCTTGACTCTGCAAATTTAATCTCACTTGCGCTTAGTACCACAATTCTCTTATTCTCTGTCGCGGGTGACCAAGAGGAATACTTCTCGTCCTTTCTCAAAAATCATACACAAGGAAAAAATTGAGATTTTCCTCATTTGCAGCTACGATGAATGCTGTAATCTAGGATACCTTACAAAGCACATATTTGAATGTTACTACCGATTCGTTTCATTGCTGAATGGGTGGCTTCGTCATGGCACATGCGAAATGGCCAGCAACAAGCAGCCTCATAAATCTCTAAGACACAGAACGTGAGACCAACATCGTAAAGAGCTATAAATAGTGGAAAGTGTGAGTGAGTGACAAATCTGATTCTCTGAAGATGCTGTTTACATTTTCACATTAATTTTGTGATGATGTCTTGCTTAATACGAAGCATTCGTAGAACATTCAGAGGTGTTGTGCCAAAATATGATCTGAATCCATTATCGCAAGTGTGAGCCTTGAGTGGTTTCCGTTGTTTAGGAAAATGTCCTCCTCTCCTCACTGAAGGAATGTGAGACTCCTGACAAGTGTTCAACTTTCTGTAGTTCTTAGCGATGTAGATCTCGCATTCTTGGCAGCCGACTCCAGAGACGACGTTCAGCACCTCCTTGAGGTTGATTAGAAGATGCCGTTTGGAAGGAGCATAGCCGAGGTCATTTCAGTCCAGGAGTAGACCGCAAACTCCCATGGTGTAGAGTTACCTATATTCCTCTTTTCTCGTTTCTTTATTCATTCATCCATTCGTTCATTTGTTCGTTCATTTATTTTCAATGACGGCTTCTGTTACGGTCGCGGTGGCAGTTGCTCCAAACTCTGTAGGTCCCGGTCCTCCGCAAAAAATGATTAACTCAATGATCTGGATTCCAAGATGGAACGAGTGTCAGATTCTCTGATTAGTCAAACTGTCCAGTTCTTGGTCTGCCTCTTGGTTGCCTTTCTCATGGCTTTGACAGAAAAGTGCACACTGCGAGTCTCGGCTGTGATATCCTATGTATCGCATGTCGGAGCCAACGCAATTGGAACCTCTAAGGCTACAGAGCTGCTCACAAGCGATGGTAGCATTAGTAGTTGTGTTCGACGACTTATCGAACCTCGTAACGCAAGTAATGTTCCCATGAACCTAAAGTCAGTGTCCAAGACTTAACTTATAACCACAGACGAAGGTAGGTATGCAGATCGGTATGAAGACCGATAGTGCAGCATTACTAACGAGTTGTTTTTAATGATGTGTGTTTCAGGGCAGGGATCGTTTGGCTGTGTTTACAAAAGTACGTTTGACGGAAAGCCGGTGGCCATAAAGCTGCTTCATGACCGCTGGAGGGACAAGTATCAAGTGCAACACATCTTCGCGGAGCTAAACGCTTACAAGCTAGACCATCCGAATATTGTCAAGATACTGGCCATCTTCAACGCAGCTGAAAATACGGAAGTACGGGAATATGGCGCCAATATGCTTTGTTATTGATGCGAACTACATTGTTTTCTCTGACCGATATGAACCGACATCTAACAGTATGCTACAGGTTGTACCCTCCCCATTCAGATGTGGCAAAGTGCATTATTAAAACTTTGATGCGGTCGGCGACTTTCATCTATTCCGTCGGATTCATGGCCATTATTTGACATAAAGAAACCATACGGAAGACGTTGACCGAATGTATTGGCTTTGTTCGTTCAAAGGGTAGATAGAATGATGGAAGAATTTAGTCATGCCTTCTTCTGTGATAGATACACGCAGTTACTGATTTTCCTTCTGAATCGGCAGACGTAACGATGACAGATATGCCTTGCGTTGATTACCAATGCAAACTCGCTCTGTTACCAAATCAATACGATTGACTTGGTGGTGGCAGATTGACTAAGAGGTGCCGGAGTTGAATCTTTTCAAGGAACAACCTTTGCCTTAACCACGAGTTCCCTTGAATAATAAATGGACCTTATATTGCGTCAGTTCACCAGCCGAAAAACACCTGTTAATACCCTATCTGATACGAGCGCCCTTATGGCTGCGCTTCAAGAATATCCTAATAAGCAGTGCTAGGTGTAACCCTGATTTCAGTGGCTAAATTAATAACACTTAACTTCCTCCATCAAGTACTGACAACGAGTTGCCTAATTCCTCGGGTACCACTTCAAGTATTGATTGCACGTGTATTTCAACTTGCATAGCCTTGGCTACCATAAGAGCATATTAAGCGGCTGATGTAAGAGTGAAAAACGTCATTCCTTGACCTTTAACTCACCTTGAATTTCTTCGGAGCAGCCATGCCTCAGAAATGCCATGCCCAATGCTATGGGTTATCACAGGTTTTTCAAGTTCTTATCCTGTTAGCTGCTTTGATGATTAGTATATTTAAATTGTGACGGCATAAATGCGAGTAATAAATGCCAGGTGGTCATGTTGATGTGTTGTCACTGGAATCTTTGATCTTTGAATACTTAACCTG